CTCCTGGTTTTTGCTGGTGGTGGGAGCTGGTCCCTTTTCCAGGTCCTTGTGCCATGAAATCAGTGACTCTATAAAAACCCTCCATTGCAAGGTGCAAAAAGTCCATTTAAACTGCACCTGCAAAGAGATTTGGGAAAACATCCCACCCAGCCCAGGCTGGGCAGCCCTTTCTCAAGGGTGACAGATCTGSTCTTTAATTTATGGGATTTCAAACAATTCTTCATCTTTTATTTCATTTTTCTCCCATTATTTGTGTTTCCTTTTTGTTACTTGAGTGCTGTAACAAGAAGGGATGGGAATGGGCTGCAGGAATTTTTTTGTTTCCTTCCCCAGCTCTGCTGCAGATTATTTAGGCATCCACAAATTCATCTTTGTGGTGGATAACCAGCACTGGCTTCCTGAGAAAATCTGAGGTCTGGGATGATTTTTGGAGCATGCTGAAGCATTTTAATGCGATAAATGAATAATGTTTCTTGCTAACAAGGTATCCTGTTGCCATCACTAATAGGGTTTGATGGGAGCCCTGGGACAATTAGTTTACATCCTGAAAAGTCATTATTTTTCACTCTGGGGTTGTTCTTCGGCGTTGCTCGGAAATATTTCTTTAAGCTGGAGATGTTTAATGTGCAGCTTTTTGGGTTTGCCCCAAGAGAAACGTGATTTTTGTGGATCCATCCGTTATCAATCAATCCGAGGCCGGAGATTCCTCAGCCAACAAAAAATCAACAACGCTTTTGCTCTCTTGGAAAGAGCTGCGATTTTTTTGAAGTGCTTCCATTTCAATGGTGATAAGAGGAGCTGCAGCTTTCATCCGAGAGCTTCATTCCTGGGAAATGTTGAGAGTTTTCCTCGATGGAGAGGCCTTGGGGAGCAGGATGCCAATAATGTCAGCAGCAGCTCCAGCAGAGGGGATGAGTCTGTGCAGAGCTCCAGGTTTGGCTGTTTTGGTGTCTGACCATGACAATGGGAGGCCTTTGTGCCCCTTTTTCTCTCCATTTTTCAATTTTCAATATTTTCTTCCTGGCAGAGGAGAGCGAGGATAGTGTAGGAGATCCAAGGGACTTTGGGTAGGGATGGGATAAGGGCAAAGTGGTTTTAAGCCAAAGGAGAGATGGGATTTTGGGCAGGAATTGTTCCCTGTAGGGTGGGCAAACCCTGGCACAGCTTTGGCTGCCCCTGGATCCCTGGCAGTGCCCAAGGCCAGGCTGTGGATGGATTTTGGAGCACCCTGGGATGGTAGAAAGTATCCCTGCCATGGCAGGGGTGGGATGAGATGAATTTTAAAGTCCCTTCCATAATTCCATAATCATCTCTTCCCCTTTCTGAGTCCAGAATCAAAACCCCACTGATGGAGTGCTGTGATTGCGGTGTTTGAGCCAAAACACCAAAAGCACCAAATATTTATGTCCTATGTGGAACCCACAGAGCTTTTGTAGGACAAAAACGTAGCAGTTGCCACAATTCAAGATATTTCTCTGGTCATGAGCAAATTCTTGATTGTGGGTGTGAGGTGGAGGGGAAGAGGAGTTAAACATTTTGTGTTTATATGGGGTAACCTACGGCAAAAGGCTGAGCTATGGGAAATATTTGTCCAGGGATGAGACTGGGAATTTGTGCACAGGCTGCACTGGGAATCCCTGATGGCAAAATTGAAATTTGCATCTTTATAATAGAAGGTTTGCAGCTTAAAAATATATTTCCCTGCCAGTATTTATATATTAATATTTAAAATATTGACCAAAATGGATGGAGCTGTGCATTTATTCTGTGTAATTTTGAAAGTGTATGGAGAGCAAATCATTATTTCCAAATACACCTGATTTTTAATCTGTTTCTTTTTTTAAATTTTTCCTTATAACTTGGTTTGACATTGAATCAAAAAATTGATTTCTCAGAAACTCTTCACTGTTAGCTTCATTTACCTCCTTCAGGAATAACGCAGTTTAAGATGCACACAGTGTTTGTGCTATAAATTAAACTAATTTTCAAGCCTGCCAATTTAAGGAGACATTGTTGTTATTAATGTTTCCGTGTGGCAGTGATGATATTAAAATYAAGGAGTGGATAATAAATAATGATCACATTCTGTGATTCCAAAATCTAATTTGATTAAAGCTTCTTCAAGTGCAGCTGATGGGCTCTAACTGTGCAAAAAGAGACTTCTGTGATTCTGCAAGAATCAGAGAATTTCATCTGACGTAAAGGCCAAAGGATGCAGTGGCTGAGGTTTGGTTAGGAGCTTGCAGAAAAGATAAATTTCCTTATTTGTAATTCAGAAAATCATGAAGGAATTCAATAGGAAGTTCTCAGGAAGTTGTTTTTATATTTAAAGGCCAAATTTCAAACTTGTGAGGAGGCTCTGCCTGGTTTTGTAAGGCCTCAATTTCTGCATTTGGATCCAGTCACCTACAGAGGTGCTGATCTTCAGCCTACTGATATCCATTTTTCTTTTTCTCCATTATTTTTCACTCCTAAACCATGAAAGATTTCCTAAATCCTGCATGCAAGCACCCCCAAACCTCAGCTGAAGCTACACCCCTACAGAATGAAATTATTTTGAGCTGGGCTCAACAAAACTCTGTTGAATGTGGAACGGTTTCGTTTGCTTACAAAACCTCTCTTCCTGTGGCCATGAGTTGAATTTTCCTCGTGTAAGTGGTTCCAGCTGGCTGGGGGGTTCTTGCTGCTGATTATTCTTTCGAGGGGATGGTTTGGACAGGAATTGTTTCATTGTCTGTGACTCTAAATCAGCCCTTACAGGACCGAAAAATCAGTGTTTGCCGTGTGGGTTAGGGTTAAACTCGGTTTAAGGAGTTGGAACTTGCTGGTTCTGCCGTTTTTTAGGAGTTGGCTGATGGYAGAAAAGCTCTTTGGCAGGAAGTAAATAGCTTTTGTAATTACAAGTGTAATCACGCTGTCAAATGTCACCCAAATATTCAAGATCACAGAAATGTTATCCAATAAAATTGGCCCATATAAGTGGTACAAACCTGCAGTTAAGCCCTCAAAAGCTTCAGGAGTGTTCCCAGTTATGTGTAACCTTCTAATATATTTTTATTTGAATATTAAGGCATTGGTTTAATGATTTTTTAAAATTGTATTATTAGAAATATGCACTGAAATACTTTTTGCTTTAGAAWTATGGATTATTTAAATTATCCAACCTAATCAAAGTAACAAAACTTCAGACTGTCAGAGTGCTGCTGCTGTTTGGAGTGTAAATCCTCCAGTTTTGGTACAGAAAACAGGTTTAAAATAATTCTGTTATCATGGAATCGTAAAATCCCAGAATGTTTTGGGGTGGAGGGACTTTAAAGCCCATCCAGGAGAGGGACAGGGACACCTTTCACTGTCCCAGGGTGTTCCAAATCCCATCCAGCCTGGCCTGGGGCACTCCCAGGGATCCAGGGGCAGCCACAGCTCAATCAAATCTCAATCAGATCATTTTCCTAAAGACGTAAAGAGAAATTCCTCTGCATGTAGGACGAGTTTTAAAAAGGGGAAAAAAAATCCTGGTTCTGGTGAAAGATCTCTGGTGAGAAAAGGGTGGGTTTAGGAACAGAGGGAACACTCCCAGTGACACCCCAGGATCCTGAGCACATTCCAGGCTGGAATTTCTGCTGATCAAATCTKCTTGGACAAGAACCACTCTCATGGTGCCACCTTCAAGGATTATTGTGGGGGAAAATGGAACAGATCAGTGGAGAGAGCAGAAGGAAATGAGCACATCCCTCTTGGGTTTGGGTTTCACAATCTCCCCGTGATCTTTAAAATAKTGGAGTTTTCCAAATAATAATTTACATTGAAGCATTAAAAAGCTGTGTTTCCATTGTAAATGTGAGTTTAATAAATAATCCTATGGTTGTCTTCCCAGATTTGATGGGAATTTCAACCCCTATGTGTTATTATAAATAATAATTTACATTGAAACATTAAAAAGCTGTGTTCCATTGTAAATGTAGGTTTAATAAATAATGTTTGATGCTGATCCTGTTGTTGGCTTCCAAATTTAACGGGAATTTCAACCCAACATGTTACTATAAATGAGAATTTACGTGGAAACATTAAAAAGCCATGTTCCATTGTAAATGTAGGTTTAATAAATAATGTTTGATTGCTGATCCTGTGTTGCCTTCCCTGATTTGATGGGAATTTCAACCCCAATGTGACTGTAAATAATAATTTACATTGAAACATTAAGAAGCTCTGTTCCATTGTAAATGTGAGTTTCATAAATAATGTTTGATGCTGATCCTGCTGTTGCCTTCCCAGATTTGATGGGAATTTCAACCCCTATGTGTTATTATAAATAATAATTTACATTGAGACATTAAAATGCTGTGTTTCCATTGTAAATGTAGGTTTAATAAATAATTTTTTATTGCTGATCCTGTTGTTGCCTTCCCAGATTTGATGGGAATTTCAGCCCCAACGTGTTACTATAAATGAGAATTTACATGGAAACATTAAAAGCTGTGTTCCATTGTAAATGTAGGTTTAATTAATAATGTTTTATTGCTGATCCTGTTGTTGCCTTCCCAGATTTGACGGGAATTTTGACCCCAACTTGTTACTATAAATAATAATTTACATTGAGATATTAAAAAGCTCTGTTCCATTGTAAATGTAGGTTTAATAAATAATGTTTGATACTGATCCTGTTGTTGGCTTCCAGATTTGACAGGAATTTCAACCCAAACATGTTACTATAAATAATAATTTACATTGAAACATTAAAAAGCCATGTCCCACTGTAAATGTAGTTTAATAAATAATGTTTTATTGCTGATCCTGTGATTGCCTTCCCAGATTTGACAGGAATTTCAACCCCAATGTGTTACTATAAATAAGAACTTACATTGAAACATTAAAAAGCTGTGTTCTATTGTAAATGTAGGTTTAATAAATAATTTTTTATTGCTGATCCTGTTGTTGCCTCTCCAGATTTGATGGAAATTTCAACACCAACGTTTCCAGAACCATCAGCTGCGATCGACTCTCAACCACTGTCAACAGCAGAGCCTTCAATCCTGGACGTGACTTAAATTCTGGTGAGCAGCACAGTTCTACTTTGGGTTTTTTTTTTCCTTCTGTTGTAGGTTTTTTTTTCCCATTAGACTTGAGCATTTCCTTGGCACAGAGAATTTGCATTGATTGCCATAGCAACAAGCTTTTATTTCTCCTTGCAACTGTCACACTGCTCTTAATTTGAGATTTCATGATTGAAAGCTGATACCTAAAGTAATGCCCTTAGCCTAAGTACTTTATAAAAAATGYCATGAAGATTTTACTCCAGCCTACCATGGATAATTTTGTTGTGGTTTCTGCACTTTTTCTTTCTTTTTTTTTTGAGGTATTTTCCTTCCTGGGCTTTGGCAGCAGCAGTGTCAGCTGCTGCAGGGGCCACACGGGGAAGTTCCTCTGATCTTCCCAGCTGAGTTCAGCTGATGTGAGGTTTCCTTTGCACTGAAATGCAAAAAAACTCCCAAATACCAGGGCATCTTCAAATATTTCCTTTCTTTGTCTTGTCAGGGCATTTTCTCCACACGTTTAAGGACTTAGAACCAAAATACACACGACTTAGCCCTGAAAAATTCAGTTTTTGGGCCTCTAGTGCAGCAAGGTTTGCTTTTTTTTTGCATCCTAATCAGTGTGGATTAATACAGGGAGTTCAGGTGGCTTTAGTCAGATTTTTGTCCAGCTGTTCCATCTGACTTTTCAACTTAGAGAACATTAATAGACTTTGGTTGTGGATTCYATTTTGGGGGGTTTTGTTTGTTAATTCTTTGCAGGGAGTGATGGACACTTGGRATTTRTTTTATTTTATTTTCATTTTCAGAGGTCTTTTGGAATAAAATGCTGATTTATTTTATTAACTTAACTGATGGAATAACAGACCTGTCATTCCCCCCTCACCATTGCACAACAAATAGTGGGGAAAACCCCAAATATTTTATAACCTCCCCTACTAAACAGATTCTCTGTTTAGAGCTTTGCTCTCTGGATTTCTAATGAAATATAAAAAGCAAAATGAGCAGTCCCCACGGATTCTTTTCCATCAGATTCCACATCTTGGCTGCAGGTGCTGGCCAGGCTGATTTCCTGACAGACCATGATTTGTGTGGTGTTTCCCATCCCAAAGCCAGGCACTCTTTGTTCACTCCCTGTGATTTGCTGTGCTGGGTTTTACTCATCTCTTTATTAGAAACAAAACAAACCCAAACAACTCATTAAAATAATGAGTTTAAATCACACACAGTTGTTGATTAATCAAAATAAATTTTGAAATCAGTTTGCAGACACTGTTGTAAGAGCAAAGCATCGAATGAATCACTTCTGGTTTTTATTTAAATCAAAATTTTTTTTCTGCTGCAGAAGTTGGAGGTTAAAAAAAACATTCAAGAAATATTCCTTATTTTTGAGTGGCGAAATACAAATAATTTGCATTTTCTCGTGAACGTTTTTTTGAATTTCTGGTTTGAATTCTCACAGAAATAAAGTGAGTGTTGGGTGTTGGGGGTTCCTGCTCAGCAGTGAGGCTCCAATGCCTCTGGCTCGAAGGATTTCTGATGAAAGGAGAACCTTCAAAAGGTGGCATTGGCAGGAAAGGGCAGCAGGAGGGCAGAGGGATTGCAGGGAGAGTAAAAACAGGGATTTATTGACAGCAGACACTGCTCTGGCTTTCCTGGTACAGAAACAGCCTCGAGGGGAGGTTTTGATTAGGGAGGAAATGTCTGCAGGAGAGAGATGGGATGGAAAGAAAGGATTGAGGCTGGAAAATGGGATGGAAACGGGTAATTTGAGAAACAAAGGTTGATGCTGGGTGCACACCTGGTGAAGAGAGGAGGTTTGTGTAGGTGAGGGACATTTCCTTGGTGCTCACCTCGTGTTTGAAACCTGTGGGGTCATCACAGGGTGAGCTTGGGTTGGGAGTGACCTCAAACCCATCCCTGCCATGGCAGGGACACCTCCCACTGTCCCAGGCTGCTCCAAACCCCAATGGGTGCTCCAAACCCCAATGGGTGCTCCAAACCCCAGTGGGTGCTCCAAACCCCAATGGGTGCTCCAAACCCCAAAGGCTGCTCCAAACCCCAATGGGTGCTCCAAACCCCAATGGGTGCTCCAAACCCCAGTGGGTGCTCCTTGGGCACTGCCAGGGATCCGGGGGCAGCCTCAGCTCTGGTTGATCCCAATTCCTCCTTCCCCTCCCTTCCCTGCTCCTCATCCCAACCACATGAGCTCCACCATCCCAACCCCAACCCTGGGACTGGAGGGGCTTTGGGGTCACTCAGGGTCAGGAARGACCTGCTGGTGTGGGGCTGGAGYGGTGTGGGRCTTCAGGAAACCCGGGATTCTGGGATAATGGGGCTGTGGGATGTGTTTGGGGTGTGGGACTGCAGGAACTCTGGGATTCTGGGATAATGGGGCTGTGGGATGTGTTTGGGGTGTGGGACTGCAGGAACTCTGGGATTCTGGGATAACGGGGCTGTGGGATGTGTTTGGGGTGTTTGGGGTGTGGGACTGGAGCAATGTGGGACTGCAGGAAACCTGGGGCTCTGGGATAACGGGGCTGTGGGATGTGTTTGGGGTGTTTGTAGGGTGGGACTGCAGGAATCCCAGGACTCTGGGATAACGGGGCTGTGGGATGTGTGTGGGGTGTTTGTTATGTAGGACTGCAGGAACCCTGGGGCTCTGATAACGGGGCTGTGGGATGTGTGTGGGGTGTTTGTTATGTAGGACTGCAGGAACCCTGGGGCTCTGATAACGGGGCTGTGGGATGTGTGTGGGGTGTTTATGGTGTGGGACTGCAGGAACCCCAGGACTCTAGGATAACTGAGCTGTGGGATGTGTTTGGGGTGTTTATTGTGTGGGTCCAGGGTGTCGTGCTGGTGGTGTTGTGGGCCATGGGCAAAAAATCCATCTGTGCCCAGAGGAATTAATGGATTGGGACGGGAATTTGCTTGGGACAGACTGGGGGCAAAAATGGAATGGGAAGGAGTTTTGTTGGAGGGATGGAGTGCTCTCTCCTAGCTGGGGAGATGCTGTCAGCCTGGAAATGGGGTTAAAAAATACTGATTAGTGTCTTAAAACCCTTTAATTTTATCTTTCTGTGGAACCATTTAGCTTTCAGGGTACACCCAGGATTTGCCCAGGAGCCAATTCTCAATAAATCTATCAATATTCGCATTAAACTAGAATCACTTCTGGAAAAAGACAGGGATCAAATAAGAAAATATTTCCCCTCATCCCATAATTTTCTTTCTTCTCTCCTAAATGCCCTCACGCAGAGCTGGTGAGGGATATCTGTTGCACTTTGAGTTTAGCCTCACTTATTTTTATGCTTTAAAAAACCCCAAATTTGTGGGTACACCTGACCGTTCTCATTATTTCCTTCCTGAATGGGTCCATCCTTTCATTTTTAACATAAAAGMCAAAATTCCCATGAGTATCCCTCTTTTCCCCTGTGAGTTCTGCAGTTTCAATAATCCTGCCTATAAAAAGCTGCTGGCAAAACAGAAATTTCAGCTCTGCTCTGCTCGACCTCACTCTCAGTTCAATGTTAATCTTGGCCGGGTCCGTGCTCAGAGTAAAAAGTGGGATTGGAGTGGTGAGGTTGGAGGTGTTGGAAAGGAACGGAATTTTCACCACAAAGCCACGGGAGCAGAGCCTGGGAGAGCCCTCGGTGTGGGCAGCAACCCCAAATTCCGCTCTGAAACTTTCAAATAGATTTTTTTCCAGTATATTTGGATTTTTTTTTTGCATAAAAAGAAAATAAACATTCATCTTAGGGAAGGGAAAAAGAATGAGATGAGCCTCTTCTCAGCCTTTAAAAAATAACGCTTTTATCACTGTTTTTTTCTTGCTATTATATAGCTTTTAAAATATTTTTTTAAGTCTTCAAAAGATTTTGTTTTATCTTGGTCGGAGTTTTGCATCTGGATTGCTTTTAACCATTCCTTCAAAATAGATAAGGAGAAAGTTTTTCTTGTCCAGATGCAATCACAGGCTTTGGGTAGTCAGATGAAGAGATCTGTCCTCACCACCCTGAATAGTCCTTTATTTATTGATGACAAAATCTTCCYCAGAGCCAGTGCATTATGTTACCAGACTCCTTTGGAGGTTTTTTCACTTTGGAATAAATAGAGAATCAGTAAATCTTTCTCCTTCTCATCCTTCAGAGTGGTGAAATGTCTGTTCCAAGTCAGGCAGCTCTGGCAGAGTGCTCCTCCCCAGAAATATGCAGAGAGGGCACCAAATTGTTCAATAAATTGTGTCTGGTTTATTCGAGGTGTTGAGATTTTAAAACGTTAAAATCATAAAATATCCAGAATTGGAAGGGACCCACAGGGATTATGGATTCCACAATGTGCAATGCCTTGGTCCTGTTCCTTAAATTGCTGCATTTTAAACTGGATTTTGGGTGAGTTAAAATGGTTGGGATGTGTTTGAGCAGAAGAGTTAATTCCTCTCCTTCCAAATCCTTTAAAYTGAGGAATCTGCTCCCATTCCCTAAAATGAAAGGGGGTTTTGCTYCTTTTCCCTTCAGAGCCCTAAGGATTGAGCAGAGCTCTGTCCTGGCTCGTGCCACCAGCAGAATGTTAATTGTGATTAAACTGCAGAGCTTTTATTTCTGGTGACAACACCGGAGCTGGAATAGGGCTTGACTTGGAAAATCCTGGATCAGATCACTCTGGAGAGTTAGAGAACATCTTTACTTGTGCAATAAACACATTTCCTTGTGTTCTTTCTGGGAAACACTCAAATATCTTCACCAGGATGGRTTTTAATGGAGGGATTTGTCAGAGGAGAACTGAAAATTCAACTTCCCTGTTTTTTTTTGGGATGGGAGCCGAGGTCGGCAGCCCAGCAAATGTAATGCTAAAGAGGAGGCCTGTAAAAAAAACCCTTTTATAATGAGCAATTATGTWCAGTAGTTCCTTTTCTTCCCCCTGACTGTTTGTGCTGTTCTTTGAAGATTAATTAGTTAATGATTTGGCTGYGCTTTGAAGATGTAAAGTGGTATCTAGAAGTGCTAAGTGTTATCATATCGCATTCCCTTTGAAGTTTTATAAACTCTATCACACAGGGCTTTCTTCCTAAAAGTCCTTTTTGCCTTGTGAGATATTTATAATTGGAGAGAGCGAGCGTTTCAAATGCTGCCATGTTGATGTTTTCCATCTTCTCCAGTCTGCAGCAGGGTTTGGGGTCAGGCAGTGCTGCAGGGGAAGGGGAGGGCACAGAGGTTTTGGTGTGGCTTGGCAGTGCCAGCTCGTGGGCAGTTGGCCACTTTTATTCCCAGTYTGTGTTTGGAGTTAAGGGATTCCACAAAGATTTCTGGCGCTCTTTGCTTCCCCCATGTGGGATTAAGGCTGGGTCTTTATTTAGCAGCGGTGTTCAGTTTAGAAAGACAAAATCATGACATTTATACAGAATTGCAGAATCATCATCACAGAATCCCAGAATGAGTTGGGTTGGGCTGGGTTGGCTGGGCTGGGTTGGGTTGGGTTTATTGGATTTGGTTTGATTTGGTTTTGGTTTGATTTGGTTTTGTTTGGGTTGGTTGAGTTGGGCTGGGTTGTTCGGGTTGGGTTGGTTGGGTTGCGTTGGTTTGGTTGGGTTGGTTGGGTTGGGCTGGATTGGGTTTATTTGATTTGGTTTGGTTTTGGTTGGGTTGTTTGGGTTGGGTTGGGTTGGGTTGGTTGGGTTGGATTGGTTGGGTTGGGTTGGTTTGGCTGGGTTGGATTGGGTTTATTTGATTTGGTTTGGTTTTGGTTTGGATTTGGTTTGGTTTTGGTTTGGATTTGGATTTGGTTTGGTTTGGTTTTGGGTTGGGTTGGTTGGGCTGGGTTGGGTTTATTTGATTTGGTTTGGTTTTGGGTTGGGTTGGTTGGGCTGGGTTGGGTTTATTTGATTTGGTTTGGTTTGGTTTTGGGTTGGGTTGGGTTGGTTTTGGGTTGGGTTGGTTTTGGGTTGGGTTGGTTTGGGTTGGGTTGGGTTGGGTTCAGCCTCAGAGCCCATCCAGTGCCATCCTTGCCACCTCCCACTGTCCCAGGGTGCTCCAGCCTGGCCTTGGGCATTGCCAGGGATCCAGGGCTTCTCTGGGCACCTGTGCCAGGGCTCCCCACCCTCCCAGRGAACAATTCCTCCCCAAAATCCCACCCAAATCTACCCATTTCCACCTTAAAGCCGTTCCCTGTGTCCTGTCCCTCCATCCCTTGTCCCCAGTCCCTCTCCAGCTCTCCTGGAGCCCCTTTAAGCTAAAAAAAAAAAAAAAAAATCTACTCTGTGTCCTGGCAAACACCAAGAATTGAAATATCTGCCAGGCATTCTTACAGCTTGAGTGGATGGAAAATAAGAATGTGTTTAAAGAGAAAAAGCCTGGATTTTTCAGCCATGGCTTATCTGCTGGGAGATTGTCTGCTGTAGTCATAGGAAAAAAAAAAAAGGGGGAAAAAAGCAGAGTTAGGATCAAATTGGTGGTCCCTGGGGAGGGTGTTACTGAGCTAACACTCACTGGAGGAAACACGAGCACAACTGTGTGAAAAGGAAGAACAGCAGAGTTCGAGTTTCAAAACCAATTGTTTTATGCACTTTAAAATCCACATACTCTCCTGGGGAAATAAATCGTGGCCTTGCAGCAATGAGAAGTTTATCTTTAATATAGCAAGGATTWAAAAAAGCCAAAGCCTTTGAATTCTGAACTCCTTTATTGTAATGTCGTTGGTAAAATGAAACTGGACAATTTATTTCATCCGGGCTTTAACTGAGCGTTCACATGGCAGTTTTGAAAATGCGTTTTTCAAGTCCTGTAACTCACAACAAAAATTTCAGTACCAGAATTTGAGCCTCTTTATATAAAACAGCTTCACCCCAGAATGATGAAATCCTGGTGGTTGGGCATAAAAAGAAGGATTTAAATGTTTTATCCTCTCCTGCCTGCAGGAGGGAGCAGCAGTTCAGGGGAAAACTTGATTTTGGAGGAGGATGGGGAGAGGAATTTCTGCTAGTCCTTGGTCCATCAGAGCAGGGAATTCTCCTCATGAGAAGCTGCATTTTTGCCCAGAACTCTGCAGTCCCAGGCAGGATCCCAGTGGGATTTGTGGGCACTGTGGGAAGTGCAAAATCCTGTGGCAAAGAGGAGTGGGGAAAGGCCAATTTGAGCAGCGCYGAGCAGAGCATTTTGTGTTTCACACTGAGCTCTGGTTGTTCTTCTCCAAACACCTCGAGAGACAAAACCTCAGAGTCTGAGCCTCCTTTGTAACTCTGCTCCATTTTCTCTCCACCCTGCAGTCCTTGCTGATAACCTGAAGTCGAACCCAGGAATTAAGTGGCAATATTTCAGCTCAGAAGAAGGAATTTTCACCGTGTTCCCAGCCCACAAATTCCGGTGCAAAGGCAGCTACGAACACCGCAGCAGGTAGGATTCACCTCCTTCCCTCTGCCTGGGAAAAGCACCAGCCCTGGATTCCTCCAGCTCTGAATTTGGTCAGTGTTGAGCTTTGCCAAGTTGACAAATTCATGAGTAGCTCCTAATGGAGTCCCTTGGGTTTTCACAGGGTGTTTTTTTTACAGTTCTGCTTTTCACTTCTAAGGAACTGAACTAAAATTCCACGCAGGTTCTTCACCTCTCCCAAATTCAATCAGCTGGAAATGGCAGTGACTTGGAAATTGCAGGGCAGCCTGGAGGCAAAATGTGACTTAAATCTGATCCTACTTGACCCCTGTTAATAGAGCAGTGAGCACACATCCCACTGATTTGGCAGGTGCATCTTTGGGAGTGCAGTGAAGGATGAGACTGGAAAGGACACACAGGTGGGAGAGTTTTCCCCRGGTTCAGGTGGGACATCATGAACAGTGAAAAAGCAGCAGTGAAAATTTCCTTCCTCTAAAAAAAAAAAAAGAATTTAAAAAGAAGTTTTTTAAAAACATCAGCTGGTGGCAGGGTTTCCTGCACAGGGATTTCTGTTCCACAGATATGAAATCAATCAGCTGAGGTCCCATATTTTTTCCCTGKTTTTTTTTTCTGTCAGTACTAAAGGATTAAGGAAGGCTGAAGGTTGGGAAGATGCTTTAGTGTCTCTGGTCACTCATTAACTAATTGCACCAGTTAATCAGTGTGTGCAGGGGAAGCAGCAGCACATCCAGAAACCTTTTGGAGACACCAAGGAGGGTTTTGTTTTCCTTCAGCATTGAGCAATCCAAAGTTCACTGATGGTATCTTCTGTGAGTCATCAAAGCACGAGATTRTGAACTTCTCTGAGTTTTTTGTGCCCTTGGGAAGGTGTGTGAGGAGGTGAGAGCTGGGCTGCCCCAGYCCTGCTCAGCATTTGCACATCAAACCAGGCTGGTTTTATCCAAACCCCTGAGTGTGGCTCCTCCCTGGCTGAACAAGGGCTATCTTAGGGCAGTGTTTACTGCAGAAGGTGCTTTGGGTGCATCCATCCCTTCATGTTTCAATGCTTTGAGGATCAAAGGTTCTTTTTCAGTTGCAGGTTTTAATCCAGGGCAGAGCTGCAGGCTGTTTTACCCTTCARGACTGATTTGTGCCAGGGGTTTGCTGCAGTTCCTTTGTCTCAAATCTTCTGCATTTCCTTTCCTCCTCATAAGAAATAAATCCTGTAGATTACTTAGATTCCTAAATTCTCACTTGACTGGAACTAATTTTGGGTTTGGATTAAAGAGAAAAGAGAGACTTAACTTTTTTTTTTAATCCTTCCTCCGTGCTGAGGATCTCTCTAATTTATTCCAGGTTGGAACATTGGCATGAGACTTGTGAACTCTTTCACACATCTCTCAGTKTTGGGCTGGGTCTGAGAACATTTCCCTGGAAACATTTTGGGTGTTAGCACAGTCACACAGCAGCACTGAGAGTCCTGGGTGTGTGAATTAAAACACTTTGGGAGGTAAAACGGGCAGCTCCAAGGGGTTGTGGAGCTGAGAGCCATCCCAGGGCACTGAGGAAAGCTCTGCCTTGGTCAGAAGGTTCTTYCAGCAGCCAAAACACCCTGGGGGGATCAGCTCCCTGCAGCTGCACAGGTCCTGGCTGCTTCTGGCACCAGCACATCCTCAATGCTGCTCTCAGTTCATGTGGGAGGGAAGTTCCAGCAGCCAGAATTTACCAGGAGGCATTTCTTCTCAAAGCTTCATTGGTGTGACCTGCTGCAGTGATCCCTGGCACTGCTGCTACGTGAACAAAAGGGCTTATTCCTCACTGGAAGCACTTGCTGGGACACAGGGGCAAAAAAACCTGATTTAGGTTCAAAAATTCAGCAAGTGAGAGGTATTTCTGTATGTTCAGATTCTCAACTGGCTTTTTCCCATCCAAGTTTTCACAAGGGCCAAAATTCCCGTTGTAATTCAAAGAACCATGGTTGTTTGCTGGGTTTTTTTTAATTCTCACCTCTTTCCCCTTGTGGATATTTCAGTGGGGCTGAGGAGGAATGAGCTGATGATTGGGGTTTTATTCCTCCCCAGGCCTGTCTACGTCTCCACCGTCCGCCCTCAGTCCAAGCACATCGTGGTCATCGTGGACCACGGCGCCTCAGTGACAGAGACACAGCTCCAGATCGCCAAGGACGCGGCGCAGGTCATCCTCAGCTCCATCGATGAGCACGACAAGGTGAGGCTGCTCCACAAAATAGCACATTTTTGGTTTTCAGGTCTCACCCACAGTGGTGTTTTGAGTCCATGGATCCTGTGGATCTGGGAGCTTCTTCACACAACGAGCAGATTTTTCAGTTTTCTGGTCTCACCCACAGCGGGGTTTTCAATCCATGGATTCTGCAGATCTGGGAGCTTCTCCACACAATGAGCAGATTTTTCAGTTTTCTGGTCTCACCCACAGCGGGGTTTTCAATCTATGGACTCCTGTGGATCTGGGAGCTTCCCCATGCAAGGAGCAGATTTTTTAGGTTTCAGGTCTCACCCACAACAGTGTTTTCAGTCCATGGATTCTGCAGATCTGGGAGCTCCTCCATGCAATGAGCAGATTTTTTGGTTTTCAGGTCTCACCCACAACAGTGTTTTCAGTCCATGGACTTGTGTGGATCTGGGAGCTTCTCCACACAACGAGCAGATTTTTTGGTTTTCAGGCCTCACCCACAGTGGGATTTTCAGTCCATGGATCCTGCAGATCTGGGAGCTCCTCCATGCAACGAGCAGATTTTTTGGGTTTTAGGTCTCATCCGCAGTGGTGTTTTAATTCCATGGATCCTGCAGATCTGGGAGGTTCTCCACACAATGAGCAGATTTTTTGGTTTTCAGGTCTCACCCACAGTGGTGTTTACCATCCATGGATCCTGCAGATCTGGGAGCTCCTCCATGCAACGAGCAGATTTTTTGGTTTTCAGGTCTCACCCGCAGTGGTGTTTTAATTCCATGGACTCCTATGGATCTGGGAGCTTCTCCACACAACGAGCAGATTTTTTGGTTTTCAGGTCTCATCCACAGTGGGATTTTCAGTCCATAGATCCTGCAGATCTGGGAGCTTCTCCACACAATGAGCAGATTTCTTGGTTTTCAGGTGTCACCCACAATGGTGTTTACCATCCATGGATCCTGCAGATCTGGGAGCTTCTCCACACAACGAGCAGATTTTTCAGTTTTTCAGGTCTCACCCACAGTCGTGTTTCCAGTCCATGGATCCTGTGGATCTGGCAGCTTCTCCACACAACAAGCACATTTTTTGGGTTTCAGGTCTCACCCACAGTGGGGTTTTCAGTCCATGGATCCTGCAGATCTCAGAGCTGCCTCTGACAGAGCCTTGAGCTCGCTCCTGAACTTCTCTGCTGCAGGAGAAACTTTTGGGGATCTGCAATTTGTGTATTTTCAACTAAAATATTTTTCAGTTAAAGCAACACATAAATTATTTATTCATTTGTATTTGCATTTAAATACTTGAAAAAATGTCCAAATTAACTGCTTTGAAAATTGTTCCTAAATTTCCCCCTAGGCTGTGACCTTGTGGCCAATTTTAATCTCGAAGCAAATTCAAAGAAGGGTTTACACCAAACACKTCCAGCAGCTCTGGATGTGCTTTGCTCAGAGAACCAAAGCAGCCATTGGGGTTTCCACCACATCACCCAAATCTAGAGCTGATGACCCAAGAATTTCTTGGAAAGGTTTTATTAATCCAAAATGGTGATTTCCTTGAACCACCGGCTTGTGCTGTTCCCAGCTCAACCTTCCATTAAAAAACCTTCCCGATGTTTGTGGTTGTGGTGGAAAGCACTGAGTTTCARAAATCAGAAYTGCAAGGAAAATAGAAACTACATCAGTTTTAACAGTCTATACATATTTGTGGGAAAATACGGGGGAAAAATATGGGGGGAAAAGTAAAACCCCATTGATCTAACGCAAAATCTTGTGCCTGAATAATCTTTAAAGGCTGCTCCATCTCAGCAGAGAGTTCAGTGGAAGAAGAACTGTGTTCCAACCATGACACCTTCTCACATCCCAGATTGCTTTGAGTGACTCATTTCTCCTCTGAGCCTCTCTTTTTGCCTCGTGAAAGTGGAAATTATTTATTCTCCCRCAATCCAGGGTGAGCTGAAACATAATTAGTGTTTGGAAGGTTCACAGATAATTGTGGTCCTGAGAAATCCAGGTTTAATTTCTTGCTCTGCCCCTGGTACTCATTTGACAGTGAAAAAGTCACTTCACCTGTCATTTTTTTCAGGACAAACAACCAGGGACTCATAAAGTGTTTCTGTCAGAAATTTCTAGTTTGATCTCTACTTTTAGGAACTCTCTGCTGGTGGGACCTCAATCATTCTTTCTGCTTGGGTTTTCTTTTGTGAGTAGGAAGAGTTTCAGTTCCATCAAACTGAGGAACAACTGATGATAATCTTTGCCTTGAGTCTTCCCATGAACAGYATGGGAAAACCACCTGTAGCTCTGTGCTTTTAGAGAGATTTAATCTCTAAAATTAAAGTGATCTTGCAGTTCAGAMGAATTAATAGCACTTAAATGTGTTTGTGTTAATGTGGAGAATGCATTTCAGACAYCTATTCCTGGGACATTGGCTCAGGGGTTATAAAACCTGTTACTCAGGTATCTCATTGCTGGTTAATTCTGTGCCTCAGCTGTGCTCCCTAACGAGGTTTGTCACTCAATTAACGAGCCTGCTGTGTTAAWTGTCATTAAAACAACCTGGTAATGCTTGCACGAACTTATTTACAGGGAAAGCTGATGTGAGAGTCACCTTGCTCTGACTGAAATATTGAACAACAAAATGCTTTGCTGGGAGAAACCCTTTCAGGGGTTGTTTGTGTTTTTCATTTCTCAGTTCTCTGCTGATTTCCAAGTCCCTTTTCCTTGAATTCCTCCTAATCCTCTCAAAAGCTGACAGATTTATTCCTCAAGCATTTCTTTTCCCATGGGATCTCCCTGGCTGGCTCTGCTGGTGCTCTGGGTGTGCAGAGCCCTCCAGGGAAGGTGACCCATGGGTGCTGTCCCGTTCCAGATCTCGGTGCTGACGGTGGCAGACGCAGTGAGGACCTGCTCCCTGGACCAGTGCTACAAAACCTTCCTGTCCCCTGCCACCAGCGAGACCAAGAGGAAGATGTCCACCTTTGTCAGCAGCATCAAAGCATCWGACAGCTCCACCCAGCACGCCCTGGGCTTCCAGAAAGCTTTCCAGCTCCTGAGGAACACCAACAATGGCACCAAGCTCCAAGGCAGTGAGTGAGCCTTTTGTGGGGTGATCTGATCATTGCTGGGCCTTGCCAAGGTGTTATTGCACGTTCTGTCTTTGGCTGAGGTTTGAGTATTAAAATAAAATGAAGGGTATCCTTAACATCCTTAATATTTTTGTTAAGGAGCGTTTCCTCGGGCTGGATCCACACGAGGGACTCTTGGTTTTGACCATTCCTGTTCTTTTGAGCTGAAATGTGAAAATGAAGRATTGATCTGTCTGATAGCTGAGTTATTTCCCAAATCTTTAGGAAGATGGGGAGAAATAGGGAAGAAGGATGGTAATAGARGGAAAAGAGGCCTTCCAAGGAAAATTGCTGGTTTTGCAGGTTCATTTAATTATTTCTGGGACATTTCCATATGGATGATGATCCTCACTGGAATCCTGTGGAAGTGGCCTTTGCTCCTCAAGGAATGGGTGTTTTGAGAATACCAATTATGGGGGTATTTTATGGGACACAAAGCTGTCCTGGCTAGATTTCCCTTTACCTCAGAACACCTTCCTGAACTTTGCATACTCATTATGAGCTTTCTATTTCCCCCTTCCCAAAATTGGGGTTTTTCTGGGTGTTTTTTGTCACAAGGATGTGGTGAGGGATGTGGAGGAGATGCCAGGCAAATTCTGTGCTCTGAATGCTCCTGGGATTTGAGTAACCCTGGCAGTGCCATGGCAGGGTGGAGGGAACATCCCATCCCTATGGGGACACTGGGATTGTGTGGCACAAACCCCACAGCTCGTCCCTGCTGCAGGGAGTGCAGATCCATCCCAAAGGGCACCAGCTCAGAGGCTGCAGAGATCAGCAGAAAGAGGAATTAAATTGCTTTGGAAAGAATGAGGCAATGCCCTCCCATTCCATGGGATTTTCCTTTGGTTTCTGGAATGCTGCTTTTGCTACCAAAGGTTCAGCCAATTTCTGGCACAGGGAGAATTTTCTGGGGCTGGACAAGGGGTGAGGTTGGCAAGGGCAGGATTTCACCATCCCCTGRCAAAAGGATGAAAGGGGAGCAACTCCTTTAAATGAAAACTAAACAGTGCAGTGCTGCTGCAGCTGCCTGGGGTGAGGTGGATTTGTCATCAGGAATTTTTCCAAGAACATCAGCTGAGTCCTGCAGCATCCTCCTGGCTATTCCCCATCCCTGGAAATGTCCARTTCCAGGYTGGACAGGGCTTGGAGCAGCCTGGGATTGTGGAGGTGTCCCTGCCCATGGAATGAGCTTTGAGGTCYCTCCCAACCCAAASCACTCCAGGATTCTATGATTTTATATTTGGCATTATTTATATATCAGTATTAGAAGTTTTGGCATATTCACATTTCATTAGGTTCCATATCAAACAGCTATTTTGGGGCACAAGTACAGAAAATCAAAATGAAAATGCTTTGGATTTAGGTTTTCCCTCCATGTGAAAGATTGGGAAGACCTGAKGTGTGTAGAACAGATTTCAGAATTCCTGGGGCAAGACACAATAGGTTGGAGAAGAGGATGTTTATAAAACACAGCTCATTTTCTTGTAAATAATCTTTTCATCTTTTAAAAAAAGAAAAATAAATCCCCACATAGAAAGATCTCCTTCATTTCACTGTTAATTTTCTAACATCCTGTTCTCAGAGAACAATGTGTGGGTGTGTCAGGGAAGCTGCTGAGCTCCAGCCCCAATCCCAGATTGACTCTGGAATAACCAGAAGGGAGGTGTGAGATGRGAGAATTGTGCTCTTGAACATGGATTTCCTGCCTCACCCCTTACTGTGCTCCGGCTCAGCAGAGCTCATCCCAAAGTGGGACAGAATGCCCCAAAAGCTGCTTGTTCTGGACCCTAATGCAGGTTTAGGCCTGGCTCAGGGCTSTCCTGGTAGCAAAGATTTAGGCTGCAGCACTGTGCCTGGCTGTAGATGGAATCTCTGTGCTGTGGCCTTGGAAACGCAGCAACAATTTCCCTTCAACTCCACCCAAAGCTGCTTTAATACCTGCCTTTGCTTTTTTTCCTGGTTTTAGCCCTCAAAAAAACAACAAGAAGAAATTCCCCCAAATTATCAGCACCTCCTGTTTGTGTCCAGATCCAGTTCTGTCTGAAATTCTGTTTAAGTCATGATAACAAAATGCGTAAATCAAAGCATTGGTACYTATTTAATAAACCAGCACAGCAACCCCACAGAAAATCCAGGTGAAAAAAGAAAGTTGGGATGTGACCACCTCATCCCAGTGCTGTGGGTTTCCTGTGGCTGATCCCAAACACAAARTGCTCTCAGTACTGGGGTGAATGGGATGGAACAGGTTGGGAATGGATCTGTTCAAAGGTTTTGGGGCAGGAGCATCCTCAGCCTGCAAAACATGGTCCAGGGCAAGTGTGAGGGGCCAGGTCACGTTCCCAAGCTTTTCACTTTGGAATGCATCCTGTGCAGCCTGGAAATTGTGGGATGGGAGGAGAGCARAGGGGCAGGAGATGAACCCTGCAGGGTTTTTACCTTTGTGGAGGTTTTTCCCTGGAGCTGTTGCAGGTGCTGGACCCACGCACTCCTGCCTGGAGGCAGCCAAGCTCCTCAGCCTGGAGAAGGAKCCRRGGAGACCTTGGTGCCTAAAGGGATCCAGGAGAGCTGGAAAGGGATTTGGGACAAGGGATGGAGGGACAGGACACAGGGAATGGGGTCACGCTGCCAGAGGGCAGGGATGGGTGGGATTTTGGGCAGGAATTGTTCCCTGGGAGGGTGGGCAGGCCCTGGCACCGCTGTGGCTGCCCCTGGATCCCTGGAGTGCCCAAGGCCAGGGTGGATGGGTTTGGAGCCACCTGGAATACTGGAAGTGTCCCTGCCATGGCAGGGGTGGGATTGGGGATTGGGTGGGATTTAAGGTCCCTCCCAACCCAACCCAACCCATTCCATGGCTGAAGGCAGAAGGTGCCTTTGGGTGTGCTCAGAACAAGCCCTGGTGCTCCTGGGTGCAGTTTGGTGAGTGTCAAGAGTGAAATTTCCACATCCATGAGGCTRCAGGGTGTTCATCCCCTGAAGATGGTCAGGGATCCCAGGGGAAGCTGCTCAGAGCAGATTTTGGGGCTCTCAGCACAGTGTGAAACACTCAGTGCTCTGTTATTGTGTTTCAGATACYGACATGGTCATCATTTATCTCTCGGCTGGGATCACTTCCAAAGATTCCTCTGAGGAGGATAAAAAAGCCACCCTGCGTGTCATCAACGAGGAGAACAGCTTCCTCAACAACTCAGTGATGATCCTCACTTATGCCCTCATGAACGGTGAGAGATGGCTGTGCTTCCCAGGCCGTGGAATTCCCTTCCCCAGCACAGCCCAGCTCAATTATAAATCTCATTCCAGGGTAATTCCAGGCCTTACTGGGAGCACTTTGGGATTTTGGCACTTTAATCCAGAAGCTGCATGCAGATGTTGCTAATTTGATATTTATAATTGTGCCAGTGAATCCCTGCGTGTCCCAGTGCAGCTGCAGGGATAGAAAGGATTGGATTGGCCAGGCTGGGTTAAATTTGATCATTATTGCAACTGGAAAYCTTCCTTTCACTGCCTGGGGCTCCTGGGGCAGCAAACTGGGAGAGAGTGTGACTTTGTTAGGCTGGGAAGGTGAACGGGAGACCAAACCTAACCTGGAACACCTGAGAGTGAAGTTAAACACAAAGATCACCCACCCATCTTCCCAAAAAAAAGCATTTTCAGCACGAAGGCAGTTTGTTGTTTCACAGAAAATAGCCAAGGAAATGAATGCTTAACCTCATGTAAAATTTGGTTGTAAATTTAAATACCCGTTTGAGACTCGGGCGTGCAAAAGGCTTTGATTTGCCTGCAGGAGTTGAGCCTGGGACTTGKGGGAAGTGTGAAACTGGAATGTTTAAGCTGGAGAACAAAGGCTGTTATCTCCTGGTCCTGTCTGTGGGTGAGCCCCCTGTGGAGAACAAAGAGCTGTCCTGTGGATTTATGGGGCACACAAGGCTTTGTTCCGGGGGCTTTGTTTAGAGGGGGGATGTGAACAGCGTGGCAAATCGCTGCACTCTGCACCAGCATGTGAGAGGCAGCCCCTTAAATTCTGTGTGAGGTCATTCGTTTTCCAAAAACCAATCTTTAAGCACTTCATCACTTAAATAAGAATATAGAATTTTCAGTCTTACAATATCGAGTATGGATCATTTGGCTTTTATTGACAGTCCTTTGGAGTGGGATGCAGAATCCTTGGTGGAAATGAAGTTTGTTTTCCCTGTTTCTCTGTGTTTGGAGTGGGATGAGAATCCTTGGTGGAAATGAAGTTCATTTTCCCTGTTTCCCTGTGTTTGGAGTGGGATGCAGAATCCTTGATGGAAATGAGGTTCATTTTCCGACAGTCCCTGTGTTTGGAATGGGATGAGAATCCTTGGTGGAAAATGAATCTTGTTTTAACTGTTCCCCTGTGTTTGAAGTGGGATACAGAAGCATTTTTTTGGAACTGAAGCTTATTTCCCTGTTTTTGGAGTGGGATGCAGAGTCCTTTTTTGGAACTGAAGCCTGTTTTCCTGTTTTTGGAGGGGGATGCAGAATCCTTTTTTTGGAAATGGAGTTTGTTCTCCCTGTGTTTGGAGTGGGATGCAGAATCCTTGATGGAAATKARGTTCATTTTCCCTGTTTCCCTGTGTTTGGAGTGGGATGCAGAATCCTTGATTGAAATGAAGTTAATTTTCTCTGTTTCCCTGTATTTGGGGTAGGATGCAGAATCCTTTTTTTTGGAAATGAAGCTTGTTTTGCCTGTTTCCCTGTGTTTGGAGTGGGATGCAGAATCCTTGGTGGAAATGAAGTTTGTTTCCCTGTGTTTAGAGTGGGATGCAGAATCCTTGATGGAAATTAGGTTCATTTTCCCTGTTTCCCTGTGTTTGGAGTGGGATGCAGAATCCTTTTTTGGAACTGAAGCCTGTTTTCCTGTTCCCTTGTGTTTTGTGCCCCTGCTGCTCTGCAGAGGGGGTGACAGGGCTGAAGGAGCTGGCTTTCCTGCGGGACCTGGCAGAGCAGAACTCGGCCAAGTACGGGGTGCCCGACCGCAGTGCCCTCCCTGTCACCAAGGGCAGYATGATGGTCCTCAACCAGCTGAGCAACCTGGAGACCACCGTGGGCAGGTTCTACACCAACCTGCCCAACAGGATGATCGACGAGGCCGTGTTCAGCCTGCCCTTCTCGGATGAGATGGGGGATGGTGAGTGCTCGCCTTGGCTTTGGGTGTAAAACCATCAGAGATCAGGTTTTCATATCCCCAAATAGCCCCTGATCATCCAAGATGTTGGGTTTGTGTGKGTTTCCAAGCCTATTTTGCCTATAGCATTTTCATCTGCAGAGTTATGGAAAAAATGGTAACAAGACAAGGAATCAACAGATTTAGTTYGGATTCTTGGGGTGAAATTTGTTCCTGTGTGTGAGTACATTCACAACATCCATAATTCCATCTGTGGAGAGGAATTCTCTGTGCTGGGGGGGCACAGCTTGGAATGGCATCCCTGCCAGGCCTGTGTGAGAGTAGCATGGAGCCAGACTGGCAGATGGCACAAGGAGAGGTTGTTCATTATTGTCCCACAAGGAGAGGTTGTTCATTATTGTCCCACAAGGAGAGGTTGTTCGTTATTGTCCCTGTTGTATAGGGCCACCCTCAGCCCTGTTTTGGCTTCACTGGACTCCCCAAACCAAATTTAAGGCTGTTTCTGTGCCAATCTGAGTCAGAGTTTTGCTCCTTGCTGTTATTACTCTCTCCCAAATCCCATCCAGGCACAATGGAAAATGGGAGCAAAGCATTGGGAATGGTGCAACAGGAAGATTTGTCTTACATGGATTTCAGAGGGTACTTAGAGCTTGTACATGCACATGAATTTATGTTGGGTTGAGGGAAGAGCTGCTGAGTTTCCAGCCAGAAAACAACAGTGAGGTGTTGTGGAGTTCTCACCTCAGGGATGAGATCCATCCCAAACTGGGTGATTATGGCTGAGATTCCCAGTACACTGGCAATACTGGGATTTAATTGAGCAGAGATTTAATATTCTGATTATGTCATTAGGTGAGCAATTCATCCCCTTTGTTGCTGTGCGAGGACAACTTCACTTCCTCTTCCATCCTATTTTTTTCATAGGATGAAAAAGGATTTCATAGGATTTTTTCAATTTTTAAAATTCTGTTAAATGAAGAAAATGCTCTGTTGGCTTTTCATACAAATGGATTTCTTCTCTGTAAGGAATCCACCTGAGACTCATAGCCTTCCCAATATTAATTGTGGTGTGTGTTTTAATAAATTGATTAATACATTTTAGGTCACTATCAGAAACACAGATTAATTAGCCAGACACGACAGAAACCCTGCTGAGCTTCCCTGGCTGTATTCCAGCATGGAATAGATACAAAATTGAATTGTGTAACATTTCAAAATACTCAGATTCCTCTAAAAATAATGACCCAGGTAATATTGCTGATGGTTTTGTGGTGTTTGTCTCCTTCCAAGGGCTGATAATGACTGTCAGCAAACCCTGCTACTTCGGGAACCTCCTGCTGGGAATTGTTGGGGTAGATGTCAACCTCGCCTATATCCTGGAGGATGTCACCTATTACCAGGACTCCTTGGGATCCTACACCTTCCTCATTGACAATAAAGGTAATTTGGGCTCAGATAATCCCCTCTGAGCTCATGAGCCACCAATTCAGAATTCTCACGTCTCTGAGCAGTTTCTCAGTAACAAATGACAACATTTATTAAAAGCTCCATCTCGTGTTGTTGAGGGTCTTTTTTTGCTGAGAGTTGCTGGAGACTTGAAGATGGATTCATGACTTGGAATTCCTATCCTGTTATTCCAGAATAATCCTATTCTGATTTGGAATCAGAAATCCTGGAAACACTTGCTGTGGGGATTTCCTACACCTGAGACATCCAAGGTTTCCTGGGAAGGAGGGAAGACTGATGTAAATGTGTGTGTGTCCAGCTCTTTTCCTCTGTTCCAGCTTATTTATTTATTTAATTTTTCAAGCTGGTTTTCATTTGATGACAAGGTTGTTTTATCATTTCCATCTTTGCCAAAATTATATGTAATTGCTGCACATTCCTTTTTCCCCTACAAGCACCCATCCTGGGCTCAGTACTTTAATCCCCTCACCTTTGGGGTTGTGTATTTATTTTTCAGGGTACACTCTGATGCATCCCTCCCTGACCAGGCCCTACCTGCTGTCTGAGCCTCCTCTCCACACCGACATCATCCACTACGAGAATATTCCCAAATTCGAGCTGGTGCGCCAGAACATCCTCAGGTGAGGGGCTGGGATGCAACCCCCAAAATACTGCAAGTATTTCTAGAGGAGTTCTAGGAGAATAAAGGTAAAATTCCTTCTCCTACAACATCTGGATATTTGGATAATTTTTCCCCCCGGTTTGGTTTTTCTTCCAACTTTCTTCATTTGTTTTGTAGTGTTTTCAGCTAATCTGGAGGATATTCCTTCTAATCTTTCCCTGTCAGGAATTTTTCCCACTRTTTGGTGTGGGTTTTCCTTTATCCTTTGCCTTACCTGAGTATTTTTGAGCTCAAAATATGGGGTGCACAAATGCATTTTCAACAAWCACACGCTTTTCTTCACCAAGCACAGACAGTTAAATCCTTTTATTTTTATGATCATTTTCTAAATACACATTAGAAGGATTTTACTCAAGTCCTAATAATTTTGATGAGCTGCTGGATGTTTTATCTCCCCCTGCAGCATTCCCTTGGGCAGCCAGATCATCACCGTTCCTGTGAACTCCTCGCTGTCCTGGCACGTCAACAAACTGAGAGAAATTGGGAAAGAAGCCTACAATGTCAGCTATGCCTGGAAAATGGTAAGAAAAACAAATGTGGATGGCACAGAGGGAGCTCATGGCTCTGCTGCTCTCCTTCCTTCAGTCTGTAAATACCTGAGCACGAATCTCAACCCAGGGATTAAAATGGAATTTAAGGTTGAGCATAGTCCAGGTGAATTCACTGATACCAGAAATCATTGGTTACTTTGTGCCAACAAACTCAAGAAGGTCCTTCTGGATCATTTCACAGTATTAAGTTAAATCCAAGTTAAAAGATTAAGCTGAGCAGTTTAGAGAGATTAAATCAGTCCTTGTTTAACACAGATTCACACAGGGGGGTGTCTGGAGTGATTTTCTAATATTGTAATGCTGCATTTAATATCAAACACCCTTTGCAGAGCAGCTGGGACACTCCAAGATTTGCTGGGGTGTTACATGGTCCTTAAAACACCCAAACATGTGGCATGTGCAGCAAAGCATTGAGGGTGGAAATAATAAAATCTGCTGTTTGAGAGTTGATTTGTTTGTACTCTCCATAAAGTGAACACCAGTGTGTGTCCAGCAATTGGGAACCTGCAGCCTCTCCTCTGTTAATGACTGAAAATATCCATGGGACAGTGTTGGAGTTTCTAACAGCATTAGAAATTATTGCTAATTGAGAAAAAAAAGATCTTGTTGAGTTTTCAGGAAGAATAATTACAATATTTTTATTTTATATGTTAACAGTGGAAAAGTGTTTTTTGCACAGCTCAGTGGCTCTGATACACAGAATTCTGTACATCATCCATGTTTTGGTTCTGTTTGGTGTTCTGCAGGTCCAGGACACGTCCTTCATCCTGTGTGTGGTGGTGATCCAGCCCGAAATCCCCGTSAAGCAGCTGAAGAACCTCAACACGGTGCCCAGCAGCAAACTGCTCTACCACCGGCTGGACCTGCTGGGCCAGCCCAACGCCTGCCTGCACTTCAAGCAGCTGGCCACCCTGGGTAGGCTGGAAAAATCCTCCAGGATCGAGTCCAAGCTGTGCCAGATCCCCACCTTGTCCCCAGAGCACTCAGTGCCACGTCCAGGAATTCCCTGGGCACCTCCAGGGATGGGCATTCCCAACCTCCCTGGGCAGTTCCATTAGGAAATCCCTAATTTCCCATGAGGAAATCCCTCCTGGTGTCCCCCCTGAGCCTCCCTCAGCACAGTCACACCTCCTGTGTGTTTCTGGCAGCACAAAACAGGGGAAATAATCTTCCCTTAAGAGGCTTTTATTTCCAGGGTTGATTTTTTATCAGGTTTTATCTTATCAAGCTCTCCTTGGTCACAGGGACTTGCTCTGAGCTGGGCACTTGCCCAAAATCACAGGAGAGTCTGGGCTGCATCTCATGGGATCATCAAGCCCAGATTTTGAGTGCGTGGCCCATCAGGGATTGAATCCTTTGATTTGATCTTCTGATCTTGATTAGATTTTGTTATMATCAGCACTGAGTTTTAACCAAATAATTTAAATTTTGTGTGGATGAATGAGTGGAGCTGCCCATGAGAGGAGGAGAGAAATGCCCTGTGAGCCCAGCATGGGGAAACAGAGATGGCTCAAACCAAATCCTCCCCTGGCTCTGAAGAACCTCCCTGAGCAGGATCAGTCCCAGCCAGTCGAGCAGGACTCTGCTGCTGTTCTGGTTTTGGATTTATGGAGGTTTTTCACTGCTGAAARCATTTAATACCCTCAGAGTCAGAAGTTAAACCTGCTGGGGAGGAGAACTTCAGTGCTGGGATGGTTTCCAGACCCTCCTCATCTGCTTAAAAATCCACGTTTTGATAAGCTGAAGTGGTTCTGCTCTTCCTGACTGATTTCAAACATTTCTGGGAGAGGGGAGAGTCTCCATGGCTGTGATCTSTGGGAATGATGGAGAACTCAAACCCCAGAACACACCCAAAACAGAGGGGTTTTACATAAACATCCTACACTGCAAGCTCTCATATTTAGAYAGAGCCTTGGCAGGTCCCTAAAATCTATATTATAAGAAGTTCTGAGTGAAATACTTTGGTTTTTGCAGGGTTTGGAGGTCTCAGGGTGGATTTGTGAGATTTTTCTTAGCTCTTTGTGGCCCTGCAATTTAACTGTGAGATCAGACAGCAGGAGGGACCTGACAAAYCTCTGGCTCTCATATTTAGATATAACCTTGGCAGGTGCCTAAAATTTGTATTATAAGAAATTCTGAATGAAATACTTCAGGTTTACGCAGGGTTTGGATGTCTCAGGGTGGATTTGTGGCACATTTGTGAGTTTTTTTTTTAGCTCTTTATGACCCTGCAATTTAACTCAGTGAGATCAGACAGRAGGAGGGACCTGACARACCTYTGGAAATTGCTTTGCCAGTTGTTCAAAACRCAGGGATTTTTCTTTAATGTGGTGGCCTGTCCTGATTATCTGATATYCAGAACAATATAAATGGAAAATATCCCAAAAATGCAGTACTAACATGTCAAATGGAAAAACTTAGAGCAAAGCAAAATCAGAATATTTGGTCTGGGAAGCAGATGAAGGGTTGGAGGGGAAGTTTGGAAGTGGGGCCTGCAGCACATGTGTGGGGATGTGTTTTGGAGGAATGTGACTGAAAGCAGAACACTTCTCATACTGCGCTGAAATTTCCCCTCTGGAGACCATTCCACACAGGGAATTCGGGTTCCATGGGTCAAATCCTCAGAAAAGATTTTCTCAGCCTTCATCCCTGCATCATCATCATCATTCCTCTTTTTAAAAAGAAAAAGCTGTCTGTTTTTTGCAGATTTTACTCTTTAGTTTGTTCTGAAAATCRCTCCAAGCAGCTGCACTTTTATTGGGGAGCTCCTTCTGCGCTTGGAACTCTCCAGATGTTCATTCYCTGGAACTGAAAACACTCATTTTCCTTTCCCTCTGGGATACCCAACCTAAACAGGGATACTTAATTTCTTCTTTAGCCCTTAATCTTTTCTTAAGGGAAAACAGCTTCTGTAATCTGACAAAAAGCAGTAATTCAGAAATTACTGAGACTTTGACCACAAGGGCATGAAATACCACACAGAGATCCGGGAAAGGGGTTGGTGCTGTGGCCTCTGGGTTTTGAAGCAAGAAGGGGAGGAGTTCATGTGCAGCCTGAGTTTAGGGGGAAGTGCTCTGGGTTGGGGAAAAAAAATCCATGTTTGCTGTTCTGTCTCAGAGTGTCCTGTAGGGTTGGGCACTTTGTGGGATCATGGGGATCCAGCCATGGGAACACCTCTGGCACGTGCAGTTCCAATTCCTGGGTGACATTCCTGGTGTTTGGTGTTTGCAGAGAGCCCCACGGTGATGCTGTCTGCAGGCAGCTTCTCCTCGCCCTACGAGCACCTGAGCCAGCCCGAGACCAAGCGCATGGTGGAGCACTACACGGCCTACCTGAGTGACAACACCCGCCTGATCGCCAACCCCGGCCTCAAGGTGGGACCCACGACTGCTCCTGGAATCCCAGATTCCTTCCTGAAATCTCAGAATCCCTGGTTTCCTTTGGGAGAGCCCTTAAGGCCCATCCTATCCCATCCTATACATCCCATCCCATCCCGTTCCATCCTGTCCCATTCCATGGATCCCGTTCCATCCCATCCCATCCCATCCCATCCCATCCCATCCCATCCCATCCCATCCCATCCCATCCCATCCCATCCCATCCCATCCCATCCCATCCCATCCCATCCCATCCCATCCCATCCCATCCCATCCCATCCCATCCCATCCCATCCCATCCCATCCCATGGATCCCATCCCATCCCACCCTCCCATGGGCAGGGACACCTCCCCCTATCCCAGGTGCTCCAAGCCTCGTCCAGCCCAACTTCAGACACTCCCAGGGATGGAAAACCCACAGCTTTCCTGGGAACCTCCCTCTCCCAGCCAGGAATTGCTTCCCAACATCTCATCTAAGAGTGGAGAGATGAGAGGAATGTAGGTTTCAGATAGTGGAGATTTGTTTTTTTGGGTGAATAGGAAAACAGGAGGGTTATGGGAATGTGGGTTTTGGATAGTGGAGATTTGTTTGTTTTGGTGAATAGGAAAACTTTGGGTGAATAGTTATAGATATAGGAAGGTCAGTTCAAAGAGAGCTGTGGCTGTGGGAAAAGGACAGAAAAGAAATGAGAAAGGGAGCGGAGGAACAACAAGAGGGAGCAGAACTAGAAAAACTCTAGAAAATTTAAAGCCACCCTAAATCCTTAGCAGAAAGAAAGGCATAGAAATGAGAAATCACTGTTTTGTATGCAAGCAGTGCATGAGTCATATTTACTCCAAGAAAAAGAAACCAAACTAAACTAAAATCCACAGGGATAGCCCAACACTACTTCACCCCAATAACCTGTTTGGGACGGGTGGTGTGGGATTCTCCAGGGGAGCCCTGCCAGCTCAGCCTTTGTCACGCAGTTCTCGGTGAGGAACGAGGTGATGGTGACGAGTCAGAGAAGAAATGAGAAAAGGGAGAAGAGGAACAACAAGGAGGAGAGAGCTAGAAACAAACACTAGAAAAACTAAAGCCACCCTAAATTCTTAGCAGAAAGAAAGGCATAGAAATGAGAAATTGCTATTTCATGTGCGAGCAGTGCATGAGTTATATTCACTCTAAGTAAAAACCCTTGAATCTACGGAGATAACCCAACAATATTTCACCCCAATAGTTTGGGATGGGTGGTGTGGGATTCTCCACGGGAGCCCTGCCAGCTCAGCCTTTGTCCTGCAGTTCTCGGTGAGGAACGAGGTGATGGCGACAAGTCAGAGAAGAAATGAGAAAGGGAGAAGAGGAACAACAAGGAGAACAGAGTTAGAAAGAAACACTCGTAAAACTAAAGCCACCCTAAATTCTTAGCAGAAAGGAAGGTATAGAAATGAGAAATCTGTATTTTACGTGCAAGAAGTGCATGACTTATATTTACTCCAAGTAAAAACCAAACTAAACTAAAATGCACAGGGATAACCCAACCATATTTCACCCCAATAACCAGTTTGGGACGGGTGGTGTGGGATTCTCCACGGGATCCCTGCCAGCTCAGCCTTTGTCCTGCAGTTCTCGGTGAGGAACGAGGTGATGGTGACGAGTCAGAGAAGAAATGAGAAAAGGGAGAAGAGGAACAACACGGAGGATAGAACTAGAAAAAAAA